GACGACATGGACGAGCACCGCAAGGAGCGCCGCGCGGCCGAGAAGCGCGCCGAGGCCGAGGAGGCCCAGCGCGTCGTCGCCTAGCCGGGAATTTATCGCATTCGGTCGTGTATTAGAAATCGCGATCGCTGCGCCAGAACTGGAGGACGAGGACGAAGACGTCGTCGGGGACATTCGCGTCGAGGAAGAGCCGCGCTTGCACGCGCTCGGCGCAGGGGCCGTAGCGGCGGAGCGTTGGCAAAGCCCGGCGGAAATCGAGGAGCTCGGCGCGGTCGGCGCGCCGAGCGGCCACGTGGGCCGTCCAGCCGCCCGCGGCGCGGACGGCGGCGAGGAAGTTGGCCAGGGTCGTGTGGTTGCGGACTCGCGCGCGGGCCTCGGGGTCTTCGCCGTTGATGTTGCGCACGTCGAGCGACGCGCCGCGACTCAGCAGAAGCTTGCACATCTTGGGGTGATTGTTCGTGGCTGCGTGGTGGAGCGCGGTCCGGCCATCGTCATCGCGCGTGTCGAGCGACGCGCCGCGACTCAGCAGAAGCTTGCACCTCTTGACGAGATTGTTCGCGGCTGCGACGTGGAGCGCGGTCCGGCCAGTCCGGCTTCGATCGTCGACCCGCGCGCCCGCGTCGAGCAGCAGGACTGCGGCGTCGCATCCGGTCCGGCCGCGAAAAGAGGCGCTGTGCAGTGGCGTCAGGCCTTCGGCTGGCCGGCCCAAGTTGACGTCGGCGCCCTGTTCGAGAAGGAAAACTATGACCGAACACCACCCTTCTTGCGCTGCATAATACAGGCGCGTCCATCCATCATGGTGGATCGAATGGTCGGATTCAGGGTCATCCTCGACACCAACGTCGCCTGTCAAGAAATAAAGGGCGTCGAGGTCGCCGCCCGACGCGTGATAGTCGACAGTTTCGTCGATGAACGAACGTTCCTGCGAGCCGACCATCGCGTCGTCGGGCTGGCTTGTGCACGATACGGGGGAGCGTAGATCTACAAAAAAAAATCGGCCGCCGCGAAGCGGCGGCACACCGCACAAGACGGGTATTGTGAGGGCTTGCCGGGGCAGCAAACCTTTTTGCAGGGCCCGGGGCGTCAAGACGCGTCACGGCGCGGAGCGCCGCGACCCGGTTTAGGCAGGCCCAGACGACGAACAACAAGCCCATGTTACCCGGGCCGCGCCGCGCGCCGGGGCGGCATGCCGGGGGCGGCTCAATTGGGAGGTGGGGCTCAGGCTGGCCGGGCGCGAAGCGACCGCGGCGCGCGGCGCGCCTGGCCCCTGCGCCGCGGCGCCGCGGCCAACGCGGCCGAAGCTCGTGCGAGCGCCAGTCGAGCGGCGTGGCGCGAATCGCGAAGCGGCGCGAGCCGCGCAGCTCGACTGGCCCACGCGCCGCGCCAGCCGGTGCCCTGCGCCGCGGCGCCGCGGCCAACGCGGCCGGAGCTCGTGCGAGCGCCAGTCGAGCGGCGGGGCTGGCGCGAAGCGCGAAGCGGCGCGAGCCGCGCAGCTCGACTGGCCCACGAGCCGCGCCAGCCGGTGCCCTCGAGCGTCGACGGGT